AAGAGAGACACAGACACAAGCAAGGCAAGGCAGGGGTGAGGGGTGGAGAGCTGTGGATTTTACTTCCCCTAGGACAAGAGCGAATATGTACTCTCAGGCCTGGCCTGCCCCATTTCCAAGACTCTGTGTAGTTCAGTCAGGAGCTCTACAAACTTGGAGTGAGGATGTCGGGGCAGTGGGGGATTGTTGCCCCATCTCTAGAGGAAACCAAGGCTGCAAATATAAATGGCTGCCAACTAGGTCTTGATAGTCTAGACTGCTGGTGGCACACCAGGTGACCAGAGAAAGTGCTTCATACCCAAATTTTGTGACTGCAACTAAAAAAGCATAGAGTTTGTTCTTCAGGAAGATGTTCCTCTGCCAGGTGACTAGGAGCTGTGCTGATACAGGGTGTCAGATGTCCTTATAAGTCAGTCATGAACTTAATACCATTTATTTTTTTTTATTTTTTAAATATTTTATGTAATTCCTACATCATTTTTCATTTAAAAGAGCTCTTCCATACACATAGCCTTTCCTCTAATTATCAATGCCCACCCTATAGGGGACTATCATGATTTCTCATTTTGGGGTGAAAAATTAGGATCAGAGAGATTAAGTAATTCTCCCACAGACCTATAGCTAGGAAAGTGGGAGTCACAATCTAAGCCCAAGTCTACCCTGGGGATAGTGTCTTCCATATTTCTTCAGGATATTGCTCCCAGACCCCACCCTCTGTCCTAGGAGACAGAGACTCTCATGTTAATCACGTGAAAGTCAATCAGCACTGAGCAATGCTCACTTATCGGAAGTGTGCCAAAAGTCAGAATTCACATGCCATCTTCTGACTTCTGTCTGTTACACCTGCCCCTACATCTCATTTCCGTTCTCATAAGAATATGCATGCACTCACTTTATCATAGGCTGACTGTGTGCCAAGCACTGTGCTTGCAGCTCTACTTTCACCCTGCTGTGGCATTTAATGTAATCTATTTAGGATATGTGTATCTGCCATGCTAGAGTGTAAACTCCCTGAGATCAGGGAAGGACTGTGTCTGTCATAATCACCATTGAATTGCCAGTGGCCACTCTAGGATTTACACATAGTGAGGCTCAAGAAACTAAACAAATGAGAGTAATTTCTACAACGCTCTACAGTAGTTGGCATCATCCCCAGTTTACAAGTGAAGAAACTCAAAACCTAGAGAGAAGCTGTGCCTCGGATTTCACAAAGTACCACTTACACTATGTAAAAGGCATATGAGCTGTCAAAGCACATTCCTTAGCCTCATCCTATTTGTTTCTCACCAACCACTCTGGGAAGTTACATCTGTTTTAATGTCAAAGCAAAAATAGAGAAGGAAAAATAAAGCAGTTCCTTTTATTTCAAGAACAAAAAAAGTGTGTGTGTGTGTGTGTGTGTGTGTGTGTGTAACAATAGGGCCCACAACTTGATGCTAATGATAAAGTAGCATCTCAGATTTCTGCTCCCATGAGTCTTGGGTCTCTCCCACTCAGGCAAAAGATCATCTTCAGAGGAGAACCTGAACACTGGCAGGTCGTGTTCCCCTCAGTTAGCACCCCACAAACATCAAGGTCACCCTGTAGAGGCCCCTTCCATTAAGATATGTAAGAACTCACAGCCTAGCTTGGAAAGAGCTGAGGGAAGGCTGCCCAGCTACCAGGCACCTTCAGTGTTGTACCAGAAGAGCATGTCTGCTGTAAATTGGCAAGGAAATGGGAGTGTTTAGATGAGAAAAGTGAGGCCAAGTTTGTGGCAAACTCTGCATAGAGGATCTCATTTCATTTTGCTTTTATCCAGGCTCTGACTTGGATGAAACAAAGGATAAACAACTGGGCCAGGTAGGAGGTAGATCTGCTAGAAGGAACCAAAAGGCTCCCTCAAGTGAGAGCCTACCTCCTTGCCTGTTCTAAGACCCAGTTTCTTATCTGCCTGTCTTGCAGTATTGCTTTGCAGATTGTCCAAAACAAGGAATAGCACAGATAACCTGAGCAGTTTGGAGAATTCCTTTATGCTTTCTGAGTCTCAGTAGCCTTACCTCAACGAAAGTAATAGCCAGATGTTCTTAGCATTGCTGTGATAGTTAAACGAGAAACTGTAGGTGAAGAGTGCTTTGCTAATGGTAAAACCTGACAGGAATTTTAGTTACTAAGCCAAAAAGGGCTTTCCTACACATGAACTCATGATTTTACACCAACCCTGTGAGATAGAAATGGAAATTGTTTTCCCATTTTGCAGAAACGGAAAGTGAGGTTCAATGAACCTGCAACTTGGCTGCTTGCAGATTACCCAACCAATAAGTAACACAGCTAAGATTAGATCCCAAATCCAACTGATCCTAAGATTCACGAGTTTTTTTTTTTTTATTGTTATTCCCCATTGTACATATGCAAAAATATATAGAAGTAATACCTCTAGATAATTTGGGTAGTCTTGGCATGTCAACATCAGTTTGTGTTTTGTCTGGACTCTGATCTCCTAGAGGGCAGTGATTATGTCTTATTGACTATATTCCTAGCCCTGAGCACCGGCTCTGGCACACAGTAAGTGGAGAAGTACTGTTTGTTGTTCACTTTAATGCCATAAACAATCACCTAGAAAAAGTGCTAAGGATATCTAAACAACTACTAAACTGATGTTTCCTTTGAGACTGGGGCATAAAGGGGGTAGGGGGCCCAAGTTGGGGGACCAACCTTGAGCAAAGGCCTGGCTTCCAGTCCCCAGGGGTCATGGCCTTTACAGGACTGCACAGAAGGGATGGAAATTTCAAAGACAACTTAGGGAGGCCTGGGGCCTGGAAAAGTCATTCTTTGTCTTGAGTGAAGTCCAAGATGTTGCATCTGTGAACAAGAAAGTGAGTGTGCTTGAAGCACGTGCTGAGAAACCCCTGTCTTGGAGGGCACAGACAGGCACCACCTGACTTAGGAAATTTCATAAGGGCAGCCCACTGGACACATGCAGACAAGTCACCCAGGCTGACTTTCACCCAAGCAGGGTGTGCAGGCTTTATTTTAAATTCTCAGGCATCCATAGCCCCAGGCACACAGAGGTTCATCCATTATCCAGCAAACCTAATGAAGGGTCTGCCCTGTGCTAGTTCTGTGCTAGGTACCGGGCTTAGAGGTGGTGAGAAGAATTCCATCCTTAGGTTGCCCCCTTTGACAGTGAGACAGACGCAGAGCAGAACATCACTCCATGGTGTAACGTGGAAAGATAAGGAGCAAGAGAACAACAATTGGATGAATCTAGCAGACTTCTCAGAGGAGGAGGGACACTTGAGTGGAGCCTCAGGGGTAGATCATATGTGTGACGTGGAGGATGCATACATGGGAGAATTTCACAGTCTCAGAGCTAGAAGGGACCTCAGATGCTATCAGGTTCCCCAGCAGTACATAAGGAAACTGATGTGCAGAGAGGGGAAGTGACCTTCCCAAGGTCACACAGCCCTTTAGTGGCTGGGCACACAGGGATCTCCAAACCTGGTTCTTCAACTCCTCGTCTAAAACTCACTGTTCTGAGAAGCGCTCTTGAGTTAATGCCCTTTTCTGTCATCTGCATCTCTGAGTGCCTAATGAGCCCTGTTGGTCGGCATCATTATTGCCCAGACTCAACAGGTCAGCTAAGTCGAAGAACCTGCCCAAAGTCACACAACTCAGAAGATGCTGAACCTGGCACCGAACTCAGGTCTCCTGGTTCCAGGTCAGGGTTCTTTCTCCACACGACCGTGGCCTCCCTCTCCCCTGGGCTCCTGAGAAATCCAATGAATTCCTGTGTGCAGTAGCTTGCTTTGAGACAGTGTGCACACCAAGGTATCTGGCCTGGGAACCACACCACAAAAAGGTATTCACTGTGGTGGTGGTTTTATTTCTCGAATATTTTAGCCATTGCCTTCCAGAAGGATACGGAAGGTCTCAGTCTCTGAGATCTAATTTAGTCTTCTTTCCTTTTCTAAAAGTAGCAGGACTATTCGTAGCTCCTAAACCAGAGGTACAGCTTGGAAGGGAGTAACAGGCAAAAGCAACTTGGCACAGTGCCAGTTCATCTAGTTGGAAAGAAATTGAAGGTGCTAGGATTTTCATTCGAAAGCAGTTGGGCCGTGAGGCACACCGAAGCAAATCAGAGTCGCCATCACAGCCCTGGCAGAAAACACTGGTGCGCATGGCCACTCAACCCATTTCCTAAAAAGCGGTTGGATTTTGAGCCTTCACAGCCTCTGCCCATGTGACCGTGAAGCTGGTGCTGGCCCTGAGCCCAAGGGGCCTATGAATCAGGCCGTGTGTGTTTTGCACCATCTCACAGACAGGCCTTTGTAAAGGGCTGGACAACTGCACTCTGAAGTGGCTGTGAAGTGGCCCCCCAACTGTTTACTTTGGATCAGAAAGGCCATTTAAATGGTGTTTGGCATTGGGGTGATGAAGCAGTGAGCAGAAGCGCAGAACACAAACCCAGCAGAGGCACAGGAGAGACACCCAGAGCACGCTCAGGGGGTACAGGGCCCAGCCTCCCCTCCACCCCACCTCAGTTAGAGCAAGGCAGGAAGGATAGGCAGGCCCACGACCCCTCACATACCCAGCCAGACCCACAAGCACTGCGCTTGGCGACCGGGGACTCATCCTCACTTTGTTTTCACACATAACCAGTTTTTAATTAAATCTGACTTTCCTCACATCTGTTCCGAAGGCCTGTCCCCTTTGGAAGTGGCGAGCACAAAAGCAGCGACGACGCGCTGGCAATAGGGAAAAGCAAACAACAGAACCCTTGAATCCATGCTCTTTCCGTGGGGCACGGCTGGGGCTCCGGAGGGGCTTCTGCCCAGACCATTGTCCTCGCTGAGCAGCATTGTCCTTGGAGATTAGCCTCCCGAGCCTCAGGAATCCAGTGGCCCTAAGCAGGTAGCCAAGTGTGACCCCATTCCCAACAATAACTCGCTCAATACTTGTCTTTTCTCTCCCCCCTCCCCTGCCCTCCTGCCCCATCTCTCCACTCTCCCTCCCCACAGAGATCTGTGCTGCCGACTGTGGTGGCCACGGCGTCTGCGTGGGGGCGCCTGCCGCTGCGAGGACGGCTGGATGGGGGCGGCCTGCGACCAGAGGGCCTGCCACCCGCGCTGCGCCGAGCACGGGACCTGCCGCGACGGGAAGTGCGAGTGCAGCCCTGGCTGGAACGGCGAGCACTGCACCATCGGTATGGCGGGCCGGGCTGCATGCGCCTTCGTCTGCGGGGCGCTCAGGGCAAGCCTGGGCCCCTCTGCATGCGGGAAGTGGGCAGAAGTCCTTTCATCTGGCACACTGTGGCTAGCATTTCCTCGACATCAATTGCATGGAAATGCACTAGCGAGCATTTCCAGCGTTTCCAGCCCGAGCTGCACCTCTGGACCCCGCCACCTGTCAGCATGCCTCGCAGACCAGCCCCTCCCAGACCAAATGTCACGTAGCTCTGAGCTCAGGAACTGGGGTTCAGGAGTGAGGCAGGTGGTTCTACCACAACTGTGGGCCAGTCCCGGTGCCGCCAAGCCTCACTTTCCTGGGGCATAATCACAGATGTGGACGTAGCACAGGCCGGCACCTGACAGAGGCTCCGTAAACAGAGCCATTGTCTCTCACTCACAATCTGGTGGGGATTGCTGGGGCTTAGTCTGAGCCATCACCCCCACTGGCCTCCTAGGCCAGAGCTCCCAAAGAGGCCTGAATCCTAGGGAAACTGCCCCACAGGCCCCAAACCACATCTGCATCCCATTAGCCCAGGGATCCTTCCCTCTGGTCCTCCGCTTCGGTCCTGTCTGCATCCATCTCCCTTCCTCTCTTTCGGGGGCTCCTCGGCATAGGCCCCTGCTGAAGCAACACTGTTGGCAGTTTTCAAAACAAGCTGATCACTCTGTTCCTTTCTTTCTGCCTTTCCTGCTGGTTTTGTTGATTTTAAACACAGCCAGCCGTTTTGCTTGGTTTATTATCCTAAAGTGAACACTCACCTAAAGTTTTTTAGTGACTCCTCTGGTTTGTATATGTGTGTTCTAACGACGTCCCCTCCCATTTTTTGGAAGGAACAGTCTGTGATCAGATGGTGAGCACATGGTTTTAGAAGGCAGGTTCTTGTTCCCTCCTACCCCAGTTCTCAAAGTCACCTCTTGAATCTTGTAGAAACTGGGAAACAAGCCTCAAAGCTTTTGAGGGACAAATAGATTTTTTTTTTTAATAATAAATTTTATTTTTATATTCTCCATACAGTTGCAACCCCCCCCTTTCTGATCCCAATCCCTCCCCTCCCGCCCCCCACCCCCCCCAAAAGTGTCTCTGTTTCATAGTTTTTTGTTGATTCTGATTTTCACTTTCTTATAGTTATTCATTTTCCTGGTCCCTTATTTAAGTTTTCTAGATTCCTGCTATGAGTGAGACCATCCAGTATTTTTCTTTTTCTTTTTGGCTTATTTCGCTGAGCATGATCCCTTCCAGCGCCATCCATGTTGCTGCAAATTGCATGTGCTTATCTTTTTTGAATGCTGAGTAATATTCCATGGTGTATATGTACCACATCTTCTTGATCCAGTCATCTATTTTTGGGCATTTGGTTTGTTTCCAAAGCTTAGCTATTGTAAATAGTGCTGCTATAAACATAGGGGTGCAGGTGTTCTTTGGAATGGATGTTTCTGTTTCCTTTGGGTAGATACCTAGGAGTGGAATTGCTGGATCATATGGAAGCTCTATGTTTAGTAGGTCCAGAAATCTCCACACAGCTCTCCACAGTGGTTGGACCAGTTTGCACTCCCACCAACAGTGCAGAAGAGTTCCTTTTTCTCCACACCCTCGCCAACACTTGTTGTTGCTAGTTTTTTTAATATGTGCCATTCTCACTGGTGTAAGATGGTATCTCATGGTAGTTTTGATTTGCATTTCCCTGATGACAAGTGATGTTGAACATTTTTTCATATGCCTGTTGGCCATTTGCATTTCCTCTTCAGAGAAGTTTCTTTTTAGCTCTTCTGCCCATTTTTTGACTGGATTATTTTCTTTGTTGTTGTTGAGTCTCATCAGCTCTTTGCAGATTTTTGTGATCAGTCCTTTATCATTAGTGTTGGGTGCAAAAATGTTCTCCCAGTTGGTGGGGTTCCTCTTTGTTTTTGTTATTGTCTCTTTTGCTATGCAGAAGCTCTTTAATTTGATGTAGTCCCAGCTGTTTATCTTTGCCTTCACTATCACTGCTTTGGGTGATGTGTCTGTAAAGATGTCTTTGATGTGCAAATCACATAGTGTTTCGCCTATATTTCCTTGTATATATTTTATGGTTTCAGGTCTTATGTCTAGTTCTTTAATCCATTTTGAGTTGATTTTCATGTATGGCGTGAGGTAGTAGTCAAGCTTCATTCTTTTGCATGTAGTGACCCAGTTTTCCCAACACCATTTATTGAACAAACTTTCTTTGCTCCAATGCATAGTCTTTGCTCCTTTGTCAAAGATTAGTTGACCATAGATCTGTGGGTTTATTTCTGGATTTTGTATTCGATTCCATTGGTCTGTATGTCTGTTCTTGTTCCAATACCATGCAGTTTTGATTATTATGGCTTTGTAGTATAGTTTGAAGTCTGGGAGTGTGATGCCTCCATTCCCTTCTTTTTTTTTTCAGGAGAGCTTTGGCTATTCGGGGTTTTTTGTGAATCCATATGAATTTCATCAATAATTGTTCTATTTCTTTGAAGAATGACATTGAAATTTTGATTGGAATAGCATTGAATCTGTATATTGCTTTTGGTAGGATGGCCATTTTAATAATGTTTATTCTTCCAATCCATGAGCAGGGGATGTCTTTCCATTTCTTTGTGTCTTCTTCTATTTCTTTTAACAGTGTTTTATAGTTTTCTTTGTATAGGTCCTTTACCTCTTTTGTTAGATTTATTCCCAAATATTTGATTTTTTTTTTGTTTCAATAATAAAAGGGATGGTTTTTTTTATTTCTTCTTCTTCAGATTTATTGTTTGTGTATAGGAAGTCTACTGACTTTTGCGTGTTGATTTTGTATCCTGCCACTTTACTGAACTGATTGATTAGTTGAATTAGTTTTTCTGTGGAGTTTTTGGGGTTCTCTACGTATATTATCATATCATCTGCAAATAGTGATAGTTTGACTTCTTCTTTTCTATTTGGATTCCTTGTATGTCTTTCTCTTGTCTTATTGCTCTGGCTAGGACTTCCAGTATTATATTGAAAAGCAGTGGTGAGAGTGGACATCCTTGTCTTGTTCCAGATCTTAATGGAATTGCTTTCAGCTTTTCACCATTGAGAATGATACTGGCTGTTGGCTTCTCATAGATGGCCTTTATGATGTTGAGGTATGTTCCTTGTATCCCAAGAATTTCAAGGGCTTTTATCATGAATGGGTGTTGCACTTTGTCGAAAGCTTTCTCAGCATCTATTGATATTATCATATGGTTTTTATATTTCTTTTTTTTGATGTGTTGGATAACGTTGATTGATTTTCGGATGTTGAACCATCCTTGTGTCCCTGGAATGAATCCTACTTGGTCGTGGTAAATTATCTTATGGATACATTGTTGGATTGTGATAGCTAAAATTTTATTGAGGATTTTTGCATCAGTGTTCATTAGGGAGATTGGCCTGTAGTTTTCCTTTTTTGTGTTCTCCTTGTTCGGTTTTGGTATTAGTGTAATGTTGGCTTCATAGAACGTGTTTGGTATTGTCCCTTCCTTCTCAATTTTTGGAAGAGTTTGTGAAGGATAGGCACTAATTCGTCTCTGAATGTTTGGTAGAATTCATTTGTAAATCCATCAGGTCCTGGGCTTTTGTTTTTGGGGAGGTTTTTGATTACCATTTCAATTTCGCTAATTGTAATTGGTATGTTTAGGTGTTCTATTTCTTCTTTATCTAGCTTTGGGTGATTGTAGAGTTGTAGGAATTTGTCCATCTCCTCTAGATTGTTGAACTTGTTTCCATATAACTGTTCATAGTAGTTACTGATTATTCTTTTGATTTCTGCTGTGTCCGTTGTGATTTCTCCTCTTTCGTTTGTGATCCTGTTTATTTGTGCTTTCTCCCTTTTTTCCTTTGTGAGCCTGGCTAGGGGTTTGTCTATTTTATTGATTTTTTTCAAAGAACCAGCTCTTGGTTTCATTGATCTTTTGAATTGTATTTTTAGTTTCAATTTCATTTTTTTCTGCTTTGGTTTTTATTATTTCTTTTCTTCTACTGGTTTTGGGGTTTTTTTGTTGTTCTTTTTCTAGATCTTTGAGCTTCGAGATTAGGTTGTTTCTTTGAGTTCTTTCTTGTTTCTTGATGTGAGCTTCTATTGCTATATATTTTCCTCTTATTACTGCTTTTCCTGTGTCCCATACATTTAGGATTTTGGTGTCCTCCTTGTCATTCAATTCAAAGAATTTTTTAATTTCTTCTTTGATCTCCTCATTAGTCCAGTGGTCTTCCAGTAGTGTGGTTTTTAATCTCCATGAGGTAGGAAAGTTCCTTGCCTTCCTTTTATGGTTTATTTCTAGTTTGATGCCTTCATGGTCAGAAAAGATGGTTGGTATGATTTCAATCTTGGTGTATCTGTTGATGTTTGTCTTGTGCCCCAGTATGTGATCGATCCTGGAGAATGATCCGTGTGCGCTTGAGAAAAATGTGTACTCCGTTTTTTGGGGGTTTAGTGTTCTATAGATGTCTGTTAAGCCCAAATGCTCTAGGTCCTTATATAGAGCTTTAGTTTCTTTACTTATATTTTGTCTTGTTGATCTATCCATTGTTGATAGTGGTGTGTTGAAGTCTCCCACTACGTATGTGTTTTCTCTGATGTCTGTTTTCAGAGAGGACAACAGTTGTCTGATATATTTTGGTGCTCCTTCGTTTGGTGAGTATATGTTAATGAGTGTTATTTCTTCTTGAAGTATTGTCCCCTTGATCATAATGTAATGACCATTGGGGTCTCTTTTTATTTTTTTGAGTTTGAAGTCTGTTTTATCTGATATAAGTATAGCTGTTCCTGCTTTCTTTTTGGCCCATTTGCTTGTAGGATTGTTTTCCATCCTTTAACTTTGAGCCTATTTTTATCTTTTGTAGCTAACTGTGTTTCCTGGAGACAGTAAAAAGTTGGGTTTTGTTTCTTAATCCAGGCTGCAACTCTGTGTCTTTTTTATTGAAGAGTTTAGTCCATTTACATTTAGAGTTAATATTGATATGTTAGCA